CTTCAGAGCAGATGTTTTTATTTTATTTGGCTTATAATTCCTTACTAAATGTAGTATTTCATCTCGATGTACTCCGTCTTTGATATGATTTAAATTAAATTTCTCGTCATTATAATTGGCTTCCGATAGCAAAGAAAGTAAAGTAAACAAATAAATATTAAGCTTTTTTTTTGTAAATTTTGATACCCTTTAGATCATAATTGTTCTTTATTTCATAAATTACTGTTTCATATTTTTAATTTTATAATTTCTGCATACCATCTTACCAGATTTAAACTGATGATCTATAATCCGGAATCGCCGAAGTCCCAACGAGTCCAGATTAACGACTTTTGACTGTATATATATAAATGGTACAACTCTGATATATGCTCTAATTTCACCAAATGTGGCGATATGTGTTCTGTGCTGGGTTTTAGCGCGGTTGCGTGTTCTATGGCAACCCTGTTGACGTTGAACAATCTTTCGCTGGAGCTCATTGATTCGCGTCTGTGTCTAAGAAGATGGGAGGGACAGATAAAATGGTAGAAGTTGTTGAATTGAAGTTCGGCAAAAGGAAATATCATTGTGGCCATCCTGTTGAGGGGTAGTGGGTATTTGGAGGTGTGGAAAGAGGGTCTGGGAGATTATTTTTAATGGCTGTGAATGATAGAAGTAGGGATTTCTGATTTTATTTATTTGTGAACCATAGTATTAATTTTCTGGAGTGTGTCTGGCTGTCATGTAAATATGATAGTGATTACGTGGCGGCATGTTAAAGGCGGTATGAAATTGGTATTTCTGCTGCTCGAAAAAGCATTAATTCATGGTAAGTGCATTTTATTTTATTCTTGCCCTTATTTTGTAGAATGTTATGTTCATTGGTTATTTAGTATGAATTTCTGTCGTTATTGTTGTTTTTGAAACAGAACGCTGTGTACAGGGTATTATATGAAATTTATTGTTATTATGTTATTTTACTAAAGCAAGGTGTGCGTAGATCGTAGATTCGTTCCTTGCCTAAATTGTGCAATTCGTAGATGTTTTTTTTAAGTTTAAACAGGATGCTGTGTACATGGTATTCTTTGAAATTTATTGTCACGTTAATTAATTTGAAATTTATTGTTGTTAAGAAACTTTACGTTTTTGCCATCTAAATTTTTTGTTTTTTGTTTCGGATTTTTAGCTTAAATCGTGTGTTCAAAATGTTGTTTTTGCATGTACGAAAACCGTGTTTTTGGAGACATTTTAGGCTTAAAGTTCGAAATATAGACAAAAAATTTAGATAGTAATATGGCAGCGTGAATTTTCTCGCCAAAAATGTTTGGCGAGAAATTTGGCGACTTGAGGGTGCATATCAGTGTAGTTCCATATAAACTATATAATAAATACAAATTAAAAAATTAAAATTAACTAACTTAAAACTGGTTAAAAGAAAACGTCAAAGTTAATGGTGAGGAAAGTGGTGGGAAATAAGTCGCTGGTGGACACCATTAACTACTAAGAAAAGGAACCTGTTGAATTATTAGCACTACACATACCAGAAATATTATATCAATAGCATATGTGGTATGTGTAAGCAATAAAAGAAAATAAAAATAGTACACTATACAGAAAGCAACATGTCAAAAATCCATAATTCACCTTGCTAAATCATTCAATTGCATTATTATAATTAAAGTTATCAGCTGTGGATAACTTAGCTACAATAATTTAGAAGAGGTAGTAAGCAATTTCTTCTGGAATCCGAATTTTTATTATTAATGCTTTTTTTTTTCTTTTATATTATTCACCAAATAAAGGAATACACAGCATGCATTTAAACTTGACACTATTACATAAAATATTCGATATATAAATACTTACTATTTTTATGAAACATACATATAAAACCTTAAAACATTAAATACTCTTACAGTAAATGCCAATGACATAATATTTCAAGTACAGGGAATACATGCAAAGATTAATACATAAAACATGCATTAAGACCATAAATATAAAATACTTTTCTATCATACATAGCACTACTATTGGTTGATCTTTAGATTATGGTAACTTGGCGATTTTTTGGCGAAAATTTGGCGACCAACTCTCCTACAGCAACTTTCTATTTTTTTTTTTTTTCCGCCGCCATTTTCTCTTCATGAAGTAAAGACATGTTTCTTTTCTTCTTATCTACTGAACACTTCTTCCAACAATCTACTAGCCGAATTACACTTATGCTAGAAATTTTATCTAACAAAACTGCTTAATCATGACAAATATTCACTGCAAAATTGGGAAAAGTGCACAATAGCAAACTCCTTGCGCGTTTTTCAAAATAACACATACACATAAACCATGTACACGTCGACTTATTTTTACTTAAAAAAACATCCCAGAATTGCACAAAAATGGCATTGCGCACACTCTTCACTATATCCATGTACACTGCTATTTTCTCATAAATTAGAAAAATTTCACGAAAATGCATGACAATTTTCTAAATCTTTAAACCCGGTAAAAAGAACATATATGAAATTACCTGATCGCGAAAAAGTATATACCCTTTCCAAGGATGAACATTTCCACGTACAAAATAAATAAAATATCCAAAAACTTTTCCCTCTAAATTATCTATTATAAACGTCACCTGCGAATTTATAACGCAAACATTAAAAATGGTTGCAAATATTTAAATATTTTCCAAATATGAACATTTCCCTGTATAAAATAAATAAAATATCCAAAAACTTTTACCTCTACATTATCTATTATATTACAAACGTCACCAACTAATTCATACCGCAAACATTACAAATGGTTACAAATACTTAGTGTCAAATATTTAAATTATTTCCATGCACGTTTACTTCAACTGAAACGTATACCAAATTGCTACAAACATAAAATTCACAAAATAACTATCATTTAATTAAAATATAATTAAAATTCAAAAACACTACTTAAAATATAAAAATCATTGCTAATAACAATTTTCCAATAATACCATATTATTTTATTTACTCCTTACATTTTAGAACAATGCATAAAATAATATCCTCAAATAATTAAAAATACTAACTTACCTAATCTTCTTCAGAATCTTGATTACGTGTCCGATAAACTTTTCTTATTTCCTCTGCTAAATAAAAAGCAAGCGTATGTGCGCCTGTTTCAGGATCTTTAAAATCATACTTACAGTTCACAGCAAGGTACCAGGTAAAATAAATAACTTAATAAAACATCTTTACTTCTATCTCGCACAACTTTAAAGAAACACTTATTACTACCCCTTTCAATCCCACTAAATACCCATTTCGAATTCACTTTAGTTAGGGCCATGGAATCCAAAAATTAACGAACACTGTTTCACACAACACAGAATAAAGCTAAATACAAAATTTCCAGATTTTTTCCCGATTCCCCCCCCCTTTTCCGATTAAAGAACTGTAATTCGTCCATTAATATCAAATGACATATCCCATGATCTCTCATTTCCCTCACACAAAATAATGCGTAATCGGAACTGAGTACTGCTCACATTATTACCAAAGTCCCGGGTAGTAACCTTTATCGCCTCCAAAATGTCGCCAAACTACCAGTTACCATATTCTAAAGATCAGCCCTACTATTTAAATACTTTAATGCTATTACTGCTTTACTGATTACACTAAGAAACTACAAACATATTTAAAAACTAGCGACTCAAAATTTTATGCCATTTCTGTTTTGAGCTACTATTAAATTATTTACACATAAACAGGACGAAATGTTGGGATTTCATCTAAATAAACACACAAGACACTCATTAAGATTTCTGTGTGAAACGAGTACTGCAGAAGCAATCCATCTGTAGGGCTCTAGCAAATAAATAAATTTGGATCTTACCAAATTAGATTCCAAAGATTAGGGACAAGCTGGTGCAGCTTTCAGTACCAGTATAGTCAGACAGAGAGTTAGGTAAAGAATAAATAGCCTTAATTTGAAATTCTTTTATTTCAACATTTAAATATTACTATACTACATATTTTCCAATTCTTCTAAAATTTACTTTTACAACTAAAAATGAGTACCTTTAGAAGTAGCTAAATCTTAAATGGCAAATTCTGTACTATGTCTGAGAGATTTTTGGTGAAATAATAAATTACTGGACGAGATATCCATAATTAAGACTTATTCTTCATAGTCAACAATACATTAGATACATTTCAACTCCAAATATTCAAATTTTGATTTTGCCAATAAATAGCAAAATATATCTTAAACGGAAACATGAAATCATCATTACAAGGAAGGGGCTAGAGAAAACTTCAGTGACGTCACAGGTGAATGAGCCTTTGGCTTTTCATTTATTTACCCAAGTGAGTTAACCGTTCTTCTATAAGTCCTGAGTAAAAACTATACATAGCAATAATTACTTAATGTCAGTTATTATATTTAAAGTTAAAGGTTTTTGGATAAACTTATAGTTATAATGAAGTATTCTGCAATTTTGTTAAGAATATATAGACATACACATGCTATGTTCATACAAATATATTTAAAATTTATATTCTGATATAAAATATACTTTGATAAACAAAACTTTTCCAGAAATTTAAATTATATATCTAACACAATGACACTTTCTTTTTAATGAAATGTTTTAATATTAACATTTCATTCAAAAATGACAAATCATCAAAATGCTAAATTTAAAAAAATTACAATACGAGAAAATAATTGCAACATTTTTAAAAGGCTAAGCTTAGAACTCTCATACCACTCAGCTGAAAGATAAAACATGGGAGTGAATTATAGCTACAATGCAAGTATATTCAATCTTGTGTTCATGCATGTAGCAGTCATTTACCCCCTCCCAACAGCCTGACTGCTCATTAAAGAACACGCACAAAGATAATTATTTTTAAAGCTGCCCCGCTAATGATTCAGACATGGTTACCAACAGTATCTCAACAGATGGGTGTGTTGAAAATCAAAAGCTAATTACATGCATGTTACAGATGTAAATTACTGAAGTAAAGAATTCATTTTACCTGTAAGTGTTGATGAGTTACTAAACTGTGTGACTGGCTGTTCAGTCATCTCATCTTGAAGATTGTTTTTATAAACTTCCGAAAGCGTCTCACTAGTCTCGGAACTATGAAAGATTGTAGCTTCCACATGGGGTTCCAGCTTGGGGCCTCGGTTAAACTACCCTGAGACATCCACACACTCAAACAGATATCATTTTAAGGGAATGTGAGAAACCTAAATGCAATGTAATAAATCTAAAACTTTCTAAACCAGCAGCTACAAAAATTAGTATATTACTGAAGAGATTTAATGATAATCAATGTGAATATTTTTAATTAAAATATATAATTATTTAAGTGACTTGTAATCATTTAAAAATTATGATTATTGTTAGTAATGTATACAGGTAATGACTTACAGGAACAGAAGTCTTTATAAAGAATGTTCTTGGAAAATTTGGCTCATATTTATATCCAGTTTATATCAACGTGGGAAACAAAAACAAAAGGAAAAAAAACATGCAGCCAGTCCATTAACCAGGTTTGAACCCAAATCAAACTACCAGAGCTCGGGAGTCTTATCCTTTTGGAAATTGGTAGACATTCAGTTATTTTTTAAACGATGCTTAATGCTTAAATTAGCTTAAATATATATAAAATGAATGGGAATTTTTCTTCATATTGTCAGCAATATTTTTTAATTACCTGGCTTGAATTCATAGCTCATTTAGGAAGTCTGAATATTATGACTTCCATTTCCTTTTAACAAAAATAAGTAATAAATAAAATAACAAAAATAAGTAACCCTTTAAAATTCCACATGATGCTTAAAAATTATCAGATAACAGCTTTCATATCTTCTCATTTCTATAATAATTTTATAAGTATTTGATCAGATTATAATAAAATGACAGCCATCAGCATTATATGCCTAATATCCAAAAATCAGAAACTTACATAAAACCATCCTTTAACAACATGTGGCATTTAAAATATTGTTTCTACATACCAACAGATGGATAATTTTTCAGTATTAACTGCATGGATTAGTTGCAAGCCAATAAAAACAACAAAAGTTTTATATTTCATTATCCAAAGTTTTGAATGTTATTTTATGTGCTTGTTCAGTATCTTGCAAATAAGCTTTCAATTTCAGACAAACAATTAAGGTAACTTATACCTAGGAAATAACTATACTTTCCATCTAAATATGCAAATAAATCATATTTCTTGGAGAGCTGGAATTCATATCTTCTTACTTCTGTGAAGCCGGATGCTAACATCTTATATTTATTATGAATTCCTGATAGAATACATACAGCTATGGTATCTGATACCTAGGAAAAACTATATTTTCTATCTAAATATGCAAATAAATCATATTTCTTGGACAGCTGAAATACATATCTTCTTACTTCTGTGAAGCCAGATGGTAACATCTTATATTTGTTATGAATTCCTGATAGAATACATATACGTAACAAAGTTTAAATTGGTATTACACATATATCTGCAACAGCTTTTACACTTAAGTACTGCTTTACACAGTTACTGTTACAAAGTATTGTTTTACACAAGACTACTTGCCTCACTTAAGAAGCATCATGAATTTGTTACAATCTTTAAAAATTATCAAATGTTGTAAAATATTTGCTTAAAAATTTTTTATTCGAATGATGGTTTTGAAATTTCAAAGTTATTAAACTGTTCTATCAAATAATAAAGTATCCACAATGCTTTTTAGAAAATAATCTTGCTATCTGAATCTAATTTATGTATAGTGCTTGAAAACTTCAATCCTGAAAGTAAGTATCTCTAGGTAGAAGAAAACAGTTGGAAATTAGCTTTCAGTGGGAGAAGGCAGATGTTCAGTGCAAGCAATTCTACCCTAATTAATATATTTTCTATTTGTACAAAGTATATATAAGCCACATGGTGTGTTACAAATAAATGAGAAAGTTAATCTGAGTGTCATCAGTTGTGTACAAGACACGACACTGGCCATGACTGGATCTTGCAGGATGCTTCATTCAAATGTTAGATTTTATAGATAAAAAGAAGTTTCTAAAATCCAAATTTATTTTATTTTATTAATTTTCACTATTTAAATCAGCTATAAGTCTGCTAATGAACTACATAAGTCTACTAATGAAGAAGAAACACATTTAAATTACAAAAGGAAAAGAAAATAAGAAGAGAGATTTAAAATACGAAAAATTTTATTCAAAAAGGAAAACACACATGAAAGACATTTTAAGAAAAACTGATTTATAATTACAGTGTACATGTGGGAAACCAGAAACTATCAACTTAGGCAAGCTTTGAGCTGCTAGGAATAAACTTGAAATCCAGTTAACCAATGTTTTGTGAATATTCACAAATAAATGTTCCCACATGACAAGTTCAAACAGCAATATTAAATAAACTAATTCAGTATACATTTTTGCTATATAAAATAATATAGCAAAAAATAAACATATGCATTAACAATGGTATTTCTCTTGAATAACAAAAAATGCAAAACTACTTGCATCAAATTTTGCTTGGTAGAAAATATGAGAGATTATGTAGCAAAATTATATAGTTAGCATAAAGAGCAGTGTTGATGCTATTTGCATAAAAATGCTACTTTTTTTTTATAATCGGATTCCTAATCTTGCATTCTGTGTAATAAACTTCATGGAAAAATTAAATTAAAAAAGATCTTGTTTTTAAAAATCTTGAGATTTTAATTACAGAATTATGAGTTTACATTAAAAAAAAAAAAGGAAAATAGTCTCGGACATAAATTTTCAACACAGAGGAATAAATAATTTTACGGTGTAAAAAAAATCTGTTTTTCAAATGAAAACATTATAAAATATAGAGAAACCACACAGTTTAAAGTTATATCTATTATCTATTGTAATGGCAATATCCTCAGAACATAAAGCTGTTTCATCACAGGATTAATAATTCTACAATGTTTAGTTTAGTCATTCAAAGGCTCATAAAGCTATTTCAACAAAGGTTAGTCATTAATATTTCTACAGTATTCAGTTTAGACATTCAAAATTATCTTCTCCAGATTATTTGGTAGAGAAATAATCTTTTATATTTCTTCGCATTAAGTAGACTGACTGAAAATAAAACACTGGCTTCAAAAATGTATAAAAAATAACTACTACTTCATATAATTTTTCCTACATAATAATTTATAGACGTGATGTAAATCATTCAAAATTAATAAAAATTACTATTTTGAAATTTCCATATGTATTTTATTACTCTAGAAAATCATTTGAAAATAGAAATTAGTCATCTTTAATCCAAAATATCAAGGAAATTCTGCTAACCTAAAATACTTATTAAATCATAAAAAAAGTCATAATTATTCCTAAATAAGCAGCTAAAAACTCGCTGTGTAATTTTGAAAAGAAATAGCATTTACTGTATGAACTTTAACATATTCTTTAAAAACTTAATCACACTTACAAAAATTTATTTTGCTTAATATTTCAAATTTTTCATGAAAGGAAGAAAGAATTTTTTTTGTTTTGTTATAATAATATGATGCCAAAAACTGATATTAAACAGAATTATATGACACAAAAAGAAATTCAGCTAAAAAAAAAGTGAATTTTTTCAGCGAAATTTTGTTCAGATTCAAAGGCCTTAACCTAAGAACAATGGCATTTAATTAAATAAAATACTTAATTATTAGACAATGTTCGTTATAGGCCTATGTAATTAAATTCCAAATATATATATACACACTAAGCAGGATCTTTTTACCAAAGAAAGATGTTTATAAAAATATACTCAAAGTAAAAAGATAAAATAATAATAATAATAATAATAATAATAATATAAAATAAATAAATAAAAAGATTTAAAAAATAAAATAATTCTTAGACAATGTTCATTATAGGTCTATGTAATTGAATCCCAAATATATATATAATAATCTGGATCTTTTTACCACAGAAAGATATTATATTAAAAATATATATATATTCAATGTAAAAAAAAGCAAATAAAATTTTCAAACAATTAAAAAATTACACAAATTACTTTAAGTTTCACGTGAATAACATTTTCAGATTGTTTCTAACTCATGCTCAATGAAAATAAAGAGAAAATATAAAGGCATATTTACATAAATCATTAACACGCTTTTAAGATAAAAACCTAATCTGATCTAGCAGTTCATTTATTAAACTAATATATGTATAAACTGAAATAAATTCACAGAGGTGAGAAGGGGTAGTCGATATCTCAACTAAATAAAAGTACTTATAACAGCATGCAATGTATTATTTAAGAGAAAATTCGATTTGTAAGGAAATGAGACGATACAATGTTTTCCTGCATTTCCATAACTCAGTTTATTTTATTCAGATATATTTACAATTTATATGTTGCAATCATAACAATAAAAATAAATTTCAGTAATAATTATAAGTAAACGTTAATTATAAGTAACTCAAAACATTACGTGAAAAACATGTAACATACTTGCAAACGCAATCTCCATGTGTTTCACTAAGATATAAAATACCTCAAAAGCTGAAATTGGATGAGAAATCTTTACTTAGAATTCCAAATTTCGGAATTAGCATTAATTCTTTCAAAAATTTAGAGGACACATCTAACGTTCTCAAACCAGCTGAGAAAGGTACTCATTTCGTCCGCAAAGGGTAAACTTCCGGTTCGTTGCCAAATTCCAAAACAGATAAGTTTCCTTTCTATTTGAAATTAAACCAAATTCTTATGTTGGTACTCTTGAACAAAAATTTTAATAAACCTGCAAATCCCCCCTTTCTTTAATTTTCGGAGGTAAATATGATTTTATGATTGTCGTTCGAAACAACCATAGTTCCAATTTGCCCAAGCAAGGAAGCTTCTTTGCTATGGATGAAGTACAGTGTCTCAAAAAAGTGATGGGACACTTGCGCTTCACAAAAGGATAATGCAATAAAATAAATTTAAAAAACATGTAAAATTTTTTGTGGGTGTGTTTTATACTTAAATTTAGTAACAATTATTACATAACATACATTTTCTCAAAATATTAATTTAATAAAAATACAATTGTTTAGAACGGAGCAAAAAATGGCTCACATAAGTGATGGGACACCATTAGATACTACTACGTACTAGGCCGATGCTATTCGCACCACCAGTGCGATTAGCCGCTTAAACTATTCGCACCAATATTAAGCACGCACGCGCATTAAGTTGTCAAAGGCGGGTTTCTACCTTGGCGTAGTTTATCATTTTTTAAACGTTGGCGACTTTCAAAAGTTGACAAAGGAAAATGGGTTCCTTTTCTTATAAAAAGAAGGAACACCTTTCCTTTTATTAAAATGTATATAAAAAGGGGCAGATTTTTATGTTCGCAATGTTTATCCCTTTCCTGAACGGTTTGAATAGTTTAAATGACTGATTTGGGGGGGGGGACAAAATCTTGTTTACATTTTTTTACTTCTTACAATACATTTAGCTTTAAAGATGTGTTTTGCGCAAACAAGACTTTAATTCATTCGTCTTTGAAAAATTTCGTCCGATAAAAGATACTAAAAATTAGACAGCGGATTTCTGTGTAGAAAATTTAGACATGAAATAAGTTAAAAGCGATTATATCAACTATTAAATTAATTATTCTGTATGCCTGCTTATTTTTTTGATGGAAATACTTGGCATTTTCAGAACACAAAAAGTGCTTTAAAGAACTTTGAAATATTAGAACAAACACATTAATCAATTAAATTGAAATAAATAATGGGATGTAATTTAAAAGACAGAAATAATTTAATGTAAGAGATTTTGATTTAAAAATGTGCACACACAAATGATTTATCATATTTTGCATGGTTTTATTTCATAAATAACTTTGATTTTGAAATATGGCATTTGAACCTATAAACCTGTGTGGATACTGAAAAAGATGAATATATAAGAATATTATCATTTTCAGTAAGTTTTCTTATTTAATAATAAATTCTGATAGTCCTATGCTATAAGAATAGGGTCTAAGTTTGCATAAAAATTCCTCTGTTAAATAAAAGAATTTAAGTAATTTCTGTAGCCTTTTTGTCAATACACTAAAGATTTTTTTAACTAATTACTCGTCCTCGCTTACAATTACAACCATCATTAAATCCCTATTTTATCTAATCATTTTCTGAACATTATGATGTATATAGATTGACCTCGTCTTTGTAACTGATAATTATTACTTGCAAATTATTCTCTTGATGATGAACTATTAACAACCATTTACTTATTGCTGAGTTAGGTTTAACAACCTTTTCTCTCACTACCGCCTGCCTTACGGAAATCGGAGTAAAATGCTGGTAGCTGGGCTGCTTGTGCGCATGCGCAAACGTAGGAGGTGTGAATAGCCTGTTAGCTATTCGCACCGTCGGTGCGATTAGCCACTGCGCTACGTACTACAATAAAAATATTTTTGGTTTTTTTTTATTTTTACTCAAAAGCAATTGGCAATAATTTATAAAATCGTCTGCAGTATTTCTCTCCAGTTTGTTTTGTAATTTTTGTGTTTTTTTAGCTCTGTGCAGCCATGATTGCTAAACGAAAAGAAACTTTGCCTAAAATTCGAAAATTAGTTATTAATTTGCGTATTTGTTTTGGCCTCCTCGGTGATTGCGGTGATTTGTGCCCAGAGGGCGCACCGCACAAAAAGTTAGTTGCGTTGCAGAACGTAAGGGAAGCGGACACGCCAAAATGTCGGGCGTATTACCGCTAATTGAGGTAATTGCATCGTATCTGTCAGGTGGCAGAAAACTAGTATGATATATCAATTCACATGCCAGGTGGCAGAATATGTCTATCATGTACATGCCAGGAGGCATAACGCTTGTAAATATGCCAGGTGGCATACGACTTGTAAATAAATTGTAAATAAATGTACAGTAAAATATCTTGGTGCAATAGATCAAGGAACAAGCATCAACAACCTTCTGATCATTTGGATACGTACATTTTTTTCTGGTGACACCGGACTTGATTTGTGGAGATGAAGAATGGACGAAGAAAATTAGTGAGTTCATGACTGAAAAGCCAGGATTTAACGCGAAGAAATTCGAGGTAGGCCCTTTTTCATTTTTCCAGTTTTGAATAGAATTGTTGAATAAAAATCTTGGTGATTATTATAGTTGATAGAATCTAATGGTAAAATGGAGGCTATGAATAAGGCAAAGAAGTTGCGTACGGTGACGCGTAGCTTAACTACTAAGTTGATGAGTAAAATAGATTCTGCATTGTTAGAAGAGGGTGAAACCGCGGATGAGAAATTAAAAGAATTACTCGAAATGTTACTTGAAAAATCGCAGTTGTTGAAACAATACGATTCTGAGATTGAAAAACTTATAATTACGGAACAGGAGTTGGAAACAGAAGTAATTTCCGCGCAGGAATATCAGGAAAGAATTATAAGTTTTAAATGTAAAATTCAGGAAAAATTAAGAAAAAACGCGTGTAAAGTTGAATCTAGAAATTCTAGTGAGGAAACTATATCTCCGAAGTTGAAAACTTGTGAAGTTAATACTTTAAAATTGCCAAAACTAACGATTACAAAATATTACGGTGATCCTTGTTCTTGGCTTGAATTCTGGAATCAGTTTAGTAATTCCATTCACCAAAACGAAAGTCTCAGTTCGGTTGACAAGTTTTGTTATTTAAAATCGCTTTTGGGAGGTTTAGCTTTAAATGCTATTAGTGGATTAACATTTACTAGTGAAAACTATACGGTGGCTGTTGATATACTAAAAAACCGTTTCGGCAGAGATGACCTGCTAATTAATGCGCATATGAATAAATTGTTGAGTTTAGAACCTGTAAAATATTCCGGAAATACGGCTTCTTTGAGGAAGCTTTATGACGATATAGAAATACAAATAAGGAATTTAAATTCTTTTAAATGTTACTAGTGGTTCTTATGGACATTTATTATCCCCTATTTTGTTAAAGTTAATACCCGAGAATTTAACTCTAGAATTCACTAGGAAAAGAAGTGATAAACAAAATTTCGATGTTAATGAACTACTAACGTTCTTGAAAACGGAAGTGGAATGTAGGGAAACATCAATGATGTTAGCGCGTTCTAAGAATCTTGATGTAAATGAAGCATCAATACGAAACAAAAGTTCCCATCAAGGTTATCAAAATAAATCTTACATGCATTCTAAAAGAAATATTTACAGTACGAATAAGCAAGATGCTTCAGTATTAACTAGTCGAAGCGAAACTCCCTCTAAACACTTTCAAAAATCGCATTTTAATCCAAATCGAAAGTTCTCTACCCCGCCTAAGAAAGAGAATCAAAATGTCTGCATATTTTGTTTATCTGCTTGTCATATGAATCATGATTGCGCACTTGATTTAAAGGCTCGCCGAAAGGCATTAATGGATCGAGGTTTATGTTTTATTTGCTTTTCGAAAGGGCATCCAAGACGTTTCTGTGCTCATAAAGATGAAAAATGCAGACTGTGCAATGTCCAAGGTTTACATAATTCGTTAATATGTGACGCCGCATCGAAAGATTTAGAGACGGATACTTCCAATCAGACAAAACAAACGCCAATCCCTGAAGCTTCTCTTTCGCTCTTATGTAATGAAAATAATAACAAAATTAAACCACCGACTTCCGTTCTTTTACAGACGTTTTCGGCAGCAGTTAGGTGTAAAGGGGAGAACGAAAAGGTATTACGTTGTATGCTAGATTCAGGGTCAACAAAGTCATTCATCTTACGAGAAGTGGTTGATTTACTGGGGTTGAAAATTATTAATAAAGAAGCGCTTATTATTTTCACATTTGGATGCAAAGATGCAAAAGAGCGCTTGTATGATATCGTAGAAATCGTATTGCAAAATGTAAACCATCCCAGTAAAAAGATAAAAATTAACGCAATAGTCATTGATTCTATAACACTAGGGCAAGTAAAGTTCCTTCTCGGTGGATACGAAAGATGGCGTTTGAGAAGGGAATAGAATTAGCAGATGCTGGTACGAGTGACGAAATTCAAGTATTAATAGGTTCGGATTATATTTGGGAAAATTTTAGGAGAACGAAACGTGAAGATTTGTAAAAAATTAGTCGCAACAAAAAGCACTTTCGGTTTTGTGATTCAAGGCAAGGACGAAGGATTAAAGTGTAAGGACGCAAGAGTTAATCATATAACCGTTGTAAATGAGGACTTAGATTATGAAAGAGTTAAAAAATTATGGGAATTAGAAGCAATTGGGATAAGTTCGGATAAAAAAAAATATCTCTATCAGATAAAGAAATTTTAGAGTCATTTGAACGAAATACAACTTACAAGAATAAAAGGTATGAAACTCGATTATTGTGGAAAGAGGTGTTGAAGGTTTAAATAACAATTATGAAATCGCGAAACAGCGTTTACTTTACAATTTTTAAATAATAAAGTTTCAGAAAAATAGCGAGCTATATTTAAAATATAATGAGATAATTAATGAACACTTGAGAGATGGTATAGTGGAACGGGTAGATACGTATTTAAATAGTAGTTTGAAAACGGGGTATTACATGCCTCATCACGCGGTGGTAGTGCGCGAGCAGAAGGATTCTACAAAGGTTCGAATAGTTTTTGACGCTTCTTCTAAAAGTAAGGGAAATTTATCACTTAATGATTGTTTGGAAAGCGGACCTAATTTAAATCCTGATTT